TTACTGAGTAGCATTAATTCCCCAAAGTATGTATCTTCAATGCTCTGCAAGATATATTCTATCCTAATTCCCATTTAATGCAATACTGAAGCTTTGCTATTGATCTTCAAGGCTGTTACTGCATAAGAACCCAGCTAAATTGGATAGTACTGTTTCATCTGTAACTTATGAAGACAAATGAGCTCTCCTAGTGTAATGCAGCAAACTGATGATGTTCATGAGGATTATTTTCAGGAAAAGTAGATTGATACAGAGCAGCCCTGAAAAGAAGAATCAAGTATTAAATATGACTGCAAATTTTATTTATCTTACTAAGCACTTGGACTGTAAGGAAATAAGTTGGAAAAATTGCTTATAAAATGTAAAAGATACAGGTATAATTTTACCATAAAATGATTAGGCAGTAATTTTCTTCCTTCAGGCAAAAGAAAATAAATTCACTAATATCTGAACATGGTCCTTAATAATTTTATCATTACTGCCTAAGAAAAAGATTCTTGAAATTACTTAAGTAACTAAATACCAGGAGACCTGCATAAAGCTAATGTGATATATGGAATTACATTTTAAATACTTGCGTAAGGGGAGAGGAATGATTATCCTCTGCAGGTACTTGTCTCACTCCTAACCTTAATGGAAGCTTGGACTAGACACTTATTTTTTAGTAGTGAAGTTTGGCATGATGAATCCCACTATTAGTAACTTTAGGAAATCACATCTTATTTGTGTACAGTGGAAATTTAATATTGATTCATTGGTGCCAATAGCTGTTGACATCTTGATGTCAGTCTGGAAAGTCTAGTGGTTCAGTGTGGTCATCATTTTATGGTAGGCCTTAAAAGCTACAGACAGCTGTTAAAGCACCCCTGATTTATATGAGAAGTTTTTCAAAACCATCCCTTATTGGAATCTCCTATTACCTATATATATATGCAGTTTCTCTAAAGTTATGTTCTGTTTTAATCAGAGATGATCTGCCCAGCTCAGAAACATACATCTTCATCATGTTTCTCAGTGTGGTTCAATGATTATTCTTTCTACCCAACAGTTTTATATTTGTCTAATACATGGTATTTGTGAGTAGTTATGGATGCTTTTAGAGTTACTAAATTTTTCATGAACAAGGATGTTTTCACACATTCTGACTAAAAAAGATACCAGATGCAGAAAGCATTTCCATTGGAGCAGACTGCAGGAAACAAAGGACACATTTGTACTTTGGTGCTGAAATCTTTGGACTAACTGCTGTGAGCTCTCAAGACCAAAATGTTCAGCTGAGCACTGCATGCTCACACTCGCCTTGGTCCTCAAATCAGTATTGTCAGGTTATAGCAATACTGTGACTAAAAGAGTACACTAATAAACCCATTCTGCTTCTGCTGTATAGGTACATATAATCCCTCAGCATGTGGCTCCTGAAGCCCTAAACCATACTGCTGAATAATGAAGACTCTATGTATTTATGATACAGGGTTTTAATTTACCAATTTCTAAAAAGTCACTCTAAAACAAAGAAAAGAGAAGGCATTTGTGATTGTCTTGTCTAACTGACAATCTGTCATTCAATTATTGAAATAATTTTGGTCCTGCTCCTTTCAACCCAATCTAAGAAAGACATCTTAGAGACTGTCAATTCTTGCATGCTTTTTGAAGACTGATGGTTTCACTGAGACAAAAGAGCAACTAAAATCTTCATTAGTTTTGCTTCTCACGGAATGCTTTGTTTAGTAAGAGACCTTTAGAGAGAATTAGAGCCCAGATCTGCCATTTTGAACATTCTCTTTTCCCATTAAATGCAGCAATTTGCAAGATTATATTCAAAGGAATATAATTTATTAGTCATCATTATTTGGACTTTGTCTAACTCCTAAAAAATACATTTTACTTGTTTTACCGGTAAGTGGCACTTGGTCCTCCTGAAGTTGAATATTTGGTCCTCCTGAAGTTGAATAAATAGGTCAGCTTTCACAGTTCCTCTGGATTCAGATTCCAGCAATGAAGTGCAGTATGAGTGACAGTTTGTTCAAATTAATTTAATCATCTCAGGTATCACTGCCATTTCTTGTTGCAAAATTACTGTCAAATAAAACACCCTTATGATAGTTTTAACTGCCCCTTTTTCTAACCTCTTGAATTCTTTCTGAAGGGATTTGTCTATGGTTTTAGAGATTCCTAGATGAACGAGAGCTACTTCTGATGTAATAGGTGTCTTGTTCAGTGCAGAAGTACCTTGACCCATGTTTAGAACATGGGCAGATAGGATCAGTGTCTCAGGTCTCGCTGTTTTTTAATACATGTTTTCTAATAGTTTTCTACCCTTGCGCAGCATGGGAAAACAGACTGGTGATGGCTTTCTGATTCTGCATCTCATTTTACATGAGGCCCCAGTGTAGATTCAAACAAGCTGGGGCTATTTAATTAAAAAAAAAAAAAATAGCCATTTCTATGAAATGGAAAGTACTAATTGTGCTCTTTTGGTTTCCTGCCTCGAACCTGGGAGGATAGTCAGATTAGAAGTCAAACAAATTTAAGGTTTGGAAAGTCTAGCTTATGAAAGATAGAAGCGACTCAAATACTGAAGTGTGGTGGGGATTTATATAAGGTTATAATATTCACTCTGATGACCATAATGCAATTTTGAGAAGTTTGCTGTGAAGCTTTATTATTCATCATGATACTGCTAAGGTGAATGCAGTATGAATTGTACAGCTTACTGCACTGTAAAATAGCATGAATTTCTGCAGAAGTAAAATTGCTTTTAATGTGGTCATATGATTTAGTGATAAAGGATAAGGGATGTACAGAATCTATACTCTAGCACTAGTTATAAAGATTCTGTCATCAAAACAGATGCTTGGTCCTTTACAATAATTTTCACTTTGGAGATAATTATTAGGTGACTGATAAAAATTTTATGAAGCCATCATAAACTAAGGAAAGGAAGGAGCAGAGTCCATTATCTACTATTGTTTCATAATGAGATATCATAATGATGGCAATTGTAAGCATTTAGATATAATGATCTGTAGAAGAGGAAGAAAGCCTAGCCAAACTATTTCAGAGAGATTACAATTTTTTTTTAATGAAGAACTTAGCTCCTCTATAAACAAGCTAAATCACAGTTAAATTTTGTTTCTAAAAAATTAGTTAAATTTTGTATGGACATATCTATATAAAGTCAGGTGAAAATAAGGCAGTGTTCTTTGCTGCTAATTCTTTTATGAAAGAATTGATTTTTAAAGATTTCTGTCTCTGCTGCTTGCTCCAGCCCCCATTCCCAAAGTTACCACCCTATTGATAGTGCTGCTTCAACTGTTCATGAAATAGTGCTATAAATTGAATAAAAGACTTTATCTTGCCTAAAGACCACCATTCTCCAATGACATCAGGATTGTTTCACAGGTCAGGTTTATTATACAGCCCTACATGGATCTTACTTAGCAGAATGAAGGCTAGTGACCAGACAGGGAAGCAGGTGAGAATGTAGGACACCAGAAGGGTCAGATGGAGTAGTGAGGGCAGGGACCTTCTGAAGATCCTCTTCTACTCTAGTAAGGTCTGAACCGAAAGGCAAAACCATAAGCAAGTTTTGTTTCTAAAAATATTATGTGTTTGTATTAGGTTTCTGTGATCAGAAAGACAGAACATTTCCATGTTCATGTGAAAACTGAAAAATAACACAATGTAAGATGAACTAATGAGCTTGTCACTTTTCGGCACCATCATGAAGTCTGTATAAAGTCTTTGAAGGTTTCTCTTTCATTAGATCAGATATTTATTAGATGGAATATTGTGTCCCTTGACTTTCCTCAAGATTTCAGTCAAAGATCAGAGAAACTATGTAGGTGTGTTCTCCATTCTCTAAAGTGAAAAAGCAGAGGAGTTTAATTATTTGATAACTTAATCTTCCTTTATTTTATTTATTTTTTTTTTTGTCTGTGTGTGCCAGTTAAGTACAATCATGTTGCCATAAAAGAGATTTAAGCAGTCTTCCTGAAGAACTCCTTTCAGATGCCTGGATTCTACTTACTCTTGGTAGCTTGAATTTTTAAGAAGGACAGAAAGACCTGTTAGTGTCCTTCCACAGTAATAGAAACAAAGACTCTCTCTCCTTGCTCGCTTCAGGTTTCCTCACCCATTAAAATCAGGCTTTTTGCCTTTCATGTACTTTGTAGTTCTCCTGATCTGTGCCATCCATGTTTGCACTGTTCATATTTGACTTTTAAAATATAAATAGTTTGAGTCCTTATACACTTTCAAGGGATGAAGTAATCCAAAGCAAAGTATTTTGGGTTAATCTAAACTGATGTTTGAGGTTCTGCATGCATACTGTTCCCTCTCCTTGCTTCTGCTATTTTGAGGTAAAGCATAACACAGCCCATTATCCTCCGAGTTCTGCCTAAGTGCTGGATTCTTGTCAACTTCATTTTACCACTTCAATTACAGCATAGGGATACAGCACAGGAGCACATCTTTCACCACTCAGTAAACGCATGTAATGAATTATTAGTGTAGTCACTGGCACTGCAGACACTGAGCTAACAAGTGTGAGTGCCCTGCTTTGGCTCTGTGTAGACCATGTCTGTCATTAACATGCGTGCCCAGAAGATAAATCAAGGCATTTTTATTTCAGCTTAATCCACCTTTAAGAAAGGCAGGGCAGGAACAGTGTCCACGTTTGTATTGCCCTTCACTGTCCTGGGCTGTTGTTGGAGGGGGACTCACAGCAGGAAAACTCTTCAGGTGAAACAGAGGGACCATGCTGGACAAGTGGGAGGAGCACGGGCTCAGGTATCTCTTTCATAGAACCGTAGAATGGTCTGGGTTAGAAAGGCTCATGTAGTTCCAACCCCTTGCCATGGGCAGGGACACCTCCCACTAGACCCGGTTGCTCAAAACCCCGTCCTAGCTGACTTTGGCAGTGTTCAAGGCCAGGATGGACGGGGCTTTGAGCAACCGGGTCTAGCAGGAGGTGTCCTTTACTTAATAAATACAGGCCAATGGGATGTGGCCATTTTGGTGCACCTCCAAAACAGCGGGTCTGGGGTTTTTATTTCCTTCCAGCTCCTGCCCAACCCCACGTCCGTGGACACCCGAAAGCCGCCGGCGCCGCTGCCCGCCGAGCCCCTAGCCGCGGCCCTGCCCCGTTCCATCCTCTTCCGATTGGTGTGTATGGAAGCGCCGCTCTTTTGCTTCCAATCAGCGTCCTGCGTCCGTTACTAAGCGATCGTTTCCAAGCCGCGCAGGCCGCTCGATGAGACGGCGGCGGCCATGGCGGGTGGGTGGCGGGACGTGGCCGGGGTGCGCATCGACCCGGCCGAGCTGTGCTTCAGGGACGCGGTGCCGGGAAACAGCTACCGCGCAGCGCTCAGCGTCCAGAACCAGCGGCTGGGGAGCTGTCGTCTCCAGCTGCTGCCGCCGCGCCGGCCCCAGGTGAGGGGTGGCCGGGAGGGAAGCGGAGGGGAGTGTGTGCCCCCACGGCCCCTGCCCGGGCGGATCTAACGTCGCCGAGGTCTGCCAGTCTTTACGAGTCAGTTGTTGGCCCTGTGCTTGTTTGTGCAGTGCCTCGCACCACTCCGGCGTGCATGAGTAACGGCAGCGCCCCATGCCGACACTCTGGCCAGGGTCCCGAGGGTCTCTGTCCCTCCCTGTAGGGCTTGTCCTGGCTGAGGAACTGGTACCCCACTCGCCTTGAACTTACCAGATGAGTGTCCCCCTTGAAGTGCAGAACATTGTCAGAGGTAAAACAGATCTCAGTGCCCAGCTTTTATTCCTTAAGTTTTGCAGAAAGGGCTGCCGACCTTGGTAGGTCCTGAGGCTGAGAAACTCAATAGCCAAAACTATTAAGTAGGTATTTGTTTATTCACCACTGAGTGCGTGGGGGATTGCTGCTGCTAACACGCACACTCACTGCCCAGCTTACCCCAAATTTATGTTAGTAGATACACATCTTCATAAGATTTCTGAGAAGAGGAGGGGTCCTTCTTGGAACTCTGCCACTCCTCCTTGAGCATGCCTATTGTCTTCTGGTGGTGGTTGACCGTGGTTGTGAGGATGAAGGCTCAAAGTCTTCCCCTAGGTTGAACTTTTCACCTTTTCTCTCGGAGTATGCGCAAGTGCTTTCACAGCAGTTTTCCAAACCACCGAAGCAGCCCTAACCAGTATGCATCTTTAGCACACAAGCAGTCCCTATTAGCTTAGGCCTAGACAAGCAGTAGCAAAAAGTTGCTTAATTAGCTCGCTGACCTTACAATTTTATGCTTTTTCTTTCTGTTAAAGCTTCTTTGTCTTAGTATATAGCTTCTTTGTCTTAGTGAATTTCTATTATCAATATCCCCCTTTTATGTAACTTTAAGAATTCTTTTGCATTTGCACAGAAAGGATAACTTTCTTTAATTTTGTACCATATGAGAGGTTATGCAGTTGATATAGGCTATTTACTGCTACATAGATTCCTGCTAAATTTCTAGTTATATTTTTTTAACACAACCTAAGGTTATTTTTATTAGTATAATTGTTACTATAATTACAATTAGAGTTTGTATCAAGGCAGCAAACCAACCTGCGAGAGAAAACCCAAATACCTGTGGAATTTTGTTGAACCAAGTAGTTTCCATATTTGTTTTAAAGCTCCACTGTCTCATGCTATTTTCTTAATTTGATCAATTTGCTTATTTAAATCTTGAGTGACATTTGAAATTTATATACAACATTTTATTTTTTAATCCTAGGAAGCCACATATCCCATGTAGGTCTAATGCCATTCTATTTTGCAATATCATTTTGGAAGTTGTCTGTAATTGCCTGTTTAAGTCCTGCAAACCCTTCTGTGTGGAGTTCCCTAAGCTTTCTACCTGTTGAGTAAGGTTATGTAAAAAAAAAATAAATTTTCTAATGTTGAGTATTCTGGAGCGAAGCTAGCCCATAATATTGTATGTCCTTAATACTAGTCTAGTCCATAATACTCTTGTACCTGTGCTAGGGGATTGCCAGTTTTCCTGACTTTCTCTCTTTATTCATCTCCATAGAGGTGGTTGCAAGGGAGATTTTCTCCATAATGGACGTAATGTTAATAATCCCAAGGTCCATTGTTTTGTTTTATCTATTATTTGTAAATGAGTGGGCCAAATTCCATCACTGCCTACCCAAACAACATTGTTTTTATAGTATCCTGGTGGCAGTTAATTGAGCCATGTATTGTTATTAGTTAAATGTGACCAAGTGTCGTTTAACTGCATGAAGTAATTCCTACAAATATATCTTAATCTCAATGCCTGGGCAGCAGGCACTACTTGTTGTATCTCTGATTCTGTAGAACTGCAATTATATACTCTAGTGCAGTTCCATTGTGGCTTATTAGCTGTGTTCTTTTTTCTCATTTCCTCAATATTACTGTAACTCACCTACACCCACAATGGATCTTTAGGACTACCTTCAATTCCCTGTGAATTCTATATGCCACCCAGTTGAGGACATAACTTCCCAGGATCCTTTCGGAACATCTTTCCAAACCTTTGGTATCTGACAGCCCCATGGAATGTTTGTCCATTGATCTCCAGAGGGCTGCTATTTTATTTCCTTGGCCCAGGAAGTGGGAGGTTTAGTTACATTACACTCAGTGACTGAACCGTTGACTTTTTTATAATTCAGAGAGTAATTTCCTTCAGTATCTACCCATTGTAACTTGCTTTCACTATATCCTTGCCACATATTTTCCAAAATTTTAGTCAAATTGGTAAGTTTCCCCATGAAATTGGATTTCCTGCCTCAGTTGACATTGGTAGACAGGCAGTAATGGAGGATACATTCTGTATTCTTGAACTAATTGCAAAATTAAATTTTTATTATAACCAATGCTACAGCCTGTATGCATTAACATTAGCAGCCATAAATTTCATTTTCATGTATCTCCCCGGAATTTCATTTGTAAAGGTCCTGTAGCTTCCACTCTCCACCCTGTGGGTGTCTTCTTTATTCTGGAATAATGGATCCAGGAAGGTCGTTCTCGGATGTTGACAGCTATGAACGTTGTTTGCAGCACTTGGTATGATCTATCCCACTTTTCCTGAAGAGGGTCACCTGAAAGATTCTTAATACATATCCAGTCACTCGGGTTAAAAGAGTAAACTTTATGGTCGACGCTTTTAACTTTAGTCTCTGACAGTTGTTTATGGACTTTTTCTAACTGTTTATCCAAAGAGATCATATATTCCTGGAGACAGTGATTTCTTAACTGTTCTAGATTGTCGTTATTTATTGCAACTGCCTGGTGTGGCCTTCCAAACAGAATTTCAAAAGGGCTTTTCCTTAGCTCTCAGTTTTACATGTATTCTCAATAGAGTGATAGGAAGTGCCTAATACCAGTATAAATGAGTTTCCTGAAAAATTTTAGCAATTTGTTGCTTAATCATATGATTTCATCTTTTCTACTTGTCCACTAGCTTGTGGTCCATATGGAGTATGGAGTTGCTAATTAATTCCTAATATTTTGCTAACCAGTTGCAGTACTTGTGCACAAAAATGTGTTCCTCGGTCACATGAAATAGCTATTGGTACTTCAAATCTGGTATTATTTCATTTAATATCACTTTAGTCACTTCTATTGCCTTATTAATTCTACATGGAAAAGCTTCTGGCCATCCAGAAAAGGTGTCTGCTAATACTAGTAAACATCGGTAACCCCCTTTTCTTGGTAATTCAGAAAAATCAATTTACCAATGTTCTCCCAGAATGTTTCCTCTCACTATAGTTCTGTGTGCTATTTTCTTTCCTGTATTAGGATTGTTTCTTAAACAGATCACACATTGCTGAGTGACTTGTCTGATAGTAGTCTACAAATTTTTCCCTGCCAGTGTAGTCTTCAGATATTCATATAAAGAGTCTGTACCCCAATGAGTCTTAGTATGTTCATCTTTGACAAATTTTAACATTTGATTGCCCAGTCCTTTAAATGAGCCTATCCCTGAGATGGAATTTGCCTCCCTTTTTCTTGAATCCATTTCTGATCTGAATCTGAATATTGAACTTCTGTTTGATTTATAATTTTTCCTTCAGGAACTAATGCCATCACCAAGGGCTCTTGTGTTTGTTCTGCTGCCTGCCTGGCCATATGATTGACCAATCTTTTACCTCTTTCTGGATCAGCATCACCCTTAAGGTGTCCTTGACAATGAATAATAGTGGCTTGCACAAGTACAGCCTTTAATATTATTAATATAATTAATAGAAATTATTAATATAGATTGTACAGCCTTTAATAAATGGAAGATCTCCTCTGCATATTTAATTTGTTTTCCTTGTGACATTAACAAGCTTCGTTCTTTTCAAATTGCCCCATGGGCACTAACGACTCCAAAGGCATACTTAGAATCTATCCGTATGTTAATTCTCTCCCCTTTTGCAAATTCCAGTGACCTTATTAAGGCAATGAGTTCTGCCTTTTGAGCAGATGTTCCTACAAGTAGAGGATTTGATTCAGTTACCTCCGTAGTGGTGGTAATTGCATATCGTGACTTACAAATTCCTTGGTGAGCAAAACTGCTTCCATCAGTATACCAGGAATCTTGTGCTTCTTCCAGAGGCTCTTCTTTTCAGTCAGGTCTGCTTGAGTAAACAGCTTCTATAGTCTCAATACAGTCATGTTCCAATGGTTCCGTAGCTTTTCCTTCAAGAAAGGGAGCTGGATTTACAACATTAGCGATCTAAATTTCCACATCATCTGAGTCAACTAAAATTGCCTGATATTTTAGGAATCTAGACGGGGATAGCTAATGATTACCTTTCTGCTCAAGCACTGCTGACACATCATGTGATACCAGCACTGTTATCTTCTGACTCAAAGTAAACTTACAGGCTTCTTCTATGCTCAGTATCACAGCAGCCACTGCTCGTAGGTGTCCTGGCCAGTCTTTATTGACCTCATCCAATTGTTTAGAGAAATTGGCCACAGATCTCTTATAGGGCCCCAATTGTTCCACTAGGACTCCAAGGGCTATTCCCTGTTTTCACGTGAAAAGAGGCAAAATGGTTTTGTCACATCAGGCAACCCTAGGGCAGGAGCTCTCATGAGTTCTTTCTTGAGGGTTTCAAAAGAAGTTTTTGCTTCACCTGTCCATATCATCTGCATATTGTTGGTTTTTAAAAGTTCATACAATGGTTTAACTATGATGCCATAATTGTAAATTGATAATCTGCATTCCAAAAAAATTCTGAGTTCTTTCACCATTTGAGGAAGAGGGGTTTGGCAGATGGCTTCATTGTGCTCAGTCCCCAACACTCATTGTCCTCTGAAGACTTCATATCCCAGGTAGTTCACATGCTTCTGTGCTACTGCTTTCTGTTGAGAGACTCGATATCCGTTTCATCCAAGAAAATTCAATAAACTTATTGTCCACTGAATACACTCAGTCATAGTTGCAATTGACAAATCACCC